TCTACATAACGTAAAATAACAGCCATTTTCTCTTTAACTGAAATATCTCGAGATTCATCAATTAAAATAGAGAACAAATCATTGTTAAGATCATCAATAATAACTTTTTTGGTCTCAAAAGCAGCAGCTTTCACAATATCTTTTTGAATGCTAGGTGACACTAATTTGAGATTTCCACGAGATTTTTTCAATACTTTATCAATCTCTTCATTATGATTACAAAGAAATTGTAGAATCTCGAGAAAATTATCTTTATTCTTTGAATCCACTGATTCATCATCACCGCAAAATGCTAATCCCAACTTTAATAAAAAGTCGAATACAATCAACTATTGCAATTAAATGAATCCAATATTCCCTTTTGATCAAGTCAGATTGTTTGTTGATAGCAACTTCAATATGTTGTTTTTAATTCATTAGTGCATTACATTTTCTCCAAGCTTGGGTGTGAGCATTATTAGGACCTCCAACATGGACGTTGAGTCTATCTTGCTTTTTCCAATTTGAAAATCCCTCAGTCACAAATGAATCCCAACCTTTGTTCTCCTATCTCATGTCACATAAGGTAACAATATAAACAAAACCAACATCTTTTGATACACTATATTCCAACCAACTACCAAATTCAAGAAACCAATCAGGATTGAACTTACATAAAGACGTACCAAATTGTCGTTGTGGAAAATTATGGTCATTTGGTTGACAAGACCCTTTTTCTAAATAAGCTCTTCGGATTTCATCTCGATATTTGAGTGATAACATGACATTGATTCCTTTCTCCAGGATTAAGAGGAAGATTATCTAAATCAACATCTAAAAAACTTTTTTTCAAAGATGGTCGTACTTGTTGTGCAAATGCATTTTCCACTTCATTAACTTGTTGAGACTCCAATGTTGATTTTCTTTTAAAATATTTTTCCATTTCTAACACATAAAAATTTAACACTAATTAGTTACTTGATTCTAATACAACTACAACTCTACAAGCATAAAATTAAAACTAAAAACATGATAAAAATTGATACAAAAATATGAAATCACAACATAATAATATAATATACAACAAAAAAAGAATGAAGGGAGAAAATTACTTGAATATTGTCTTTTAACTCTACTACGATAAAATGGTAAAAATAAATAAGATTTAAAAATAGGAGATTTATGAAGAAAAAATAAAGTGTGTAGAAGAAAGAAGACAAAAAATAGAGTACAAATGAAAATAATATGTTGTTGTATGTAAATTGATTTATAATTAGAAGAACCTATACAAATACAATTTACTTGTGTCTTTTTAATTTCCATTTTTTATATATAAAGTAATAAAATAATTAATAGTCAGATTTATGTTTCTTAGAATTCAAATCAAATGAGTGGTGAGGGGACAATGATGTATTTAATGTCTGGTCAATATTCTAAAATTAGTTATTATTGGTTTTAAAAAGAAAAATCAAGTGGGGCCACTTGCCCCTATTCCAATATACATAGATCCGTGTCTGCTTGTATGTGTGTTGTGATTGTTTGATTGGTGTGAACTGTGTGGATACTACTCCTTAGTATGTGATTTTCACCGTATAATTATTAAATGTAATTCTCACCCTTTTTCTGTTGTTGTGTATGTGCTCCTTAGGGGGTACAAATAAACAGGTACGTGAGTAGTGCTTGGTGTATGTGTTGCTATTGATCGAGTCTTATGAGTCTCTCTGATACGTAACACGGGAAGGATGAGGATTTCATTATTCTTTATGTTATTTGTTATTTGTTGCGTATCTTGATTTTGTTTAATGATGTTGAACCACGTATTGTGTAAATTTTGATGTAATTGGAGCCGTAGTGTCGGGCCATTTGAAAATTCCGTTGTTTAATTAATTTATTTGTATGAAGAAATAAGATATGAAGTGAATTAACGCTTCATGAGATTTTATGTTTATGTGGCATCCTACGTGTGTACTCTGATTTTTCCGCAAACTATTTTTCGTATTTTTACTTATTAAATGAATGGGGAGAGTAGGGTGTTACAAAAATCTCATGGTAGTGCAAAAGGACTGAACTACTCTCAAGTTGTGAAAGGAAAAAAGATAGTTTGTTGTGTCTTCTCTTTTACGTTCCTTGCTTATGTACTTATCATTCCGCTACTGTCAGCTTTGATACTCTAAGTCATATTTTGGTTCAAAATTTGACAAGCACTTTCAGAGGTAAACCAAATTTTTTTAGTCAGATTTTGAACCAAGTGTTCAGAATCTGATTGAGATTCATTAGAAGTAGAAGCTGAAAAAATCTAGAAGGAGAAAAAGCCAACATAATTCAACCCTCATTTCTTGTGTTTTTCTCACCTTAAAAAAAGACGTTTAGGTAATAGCCATGATGACAGTGACGTTATCGCACGACTTTGAATATTGGTTGAAACTTAAAAAACGCCATATGTCTCTTAAGATGAATTGAAAGTGGCATTTTTTAGGGTAATTTGTTAGCCAAGAAATTTCAATGCACTAACTCGACAAGGGAATTAACTGAAATTTTTGCATAAGCATAAGGCAAGATTTCATATCTTTCGACCAGAGACAGTTTGGGATAAAACATCAATGTCCGACATACTAAGGATCTGGTCTGGTACTTAGCGAAATTTTCAAAAGTTGATTGCTGACCAATTTGACAGATCGAAGGAGATTTGATCAAAGCAAATTCAAAATCAAACCAAATAACTGTTAATAAATGTTTTTTTAGTCTTATACAAAGTGCCAAAGACACATGAAGATCAATCGAAGGCAAGTGAAGCATACAAAAATGACGCGTTGAATGGAAGACAATTGAGCGTTGAAGACGTTTAGTTTCACAATACTATAATTAGAGATTCAAGCATTACAATTTGGGGTTGCAAAATCATTGTAAACTTCAATACAAACTCAAAGTACTCATACGCAAGTAAGAAATGAGTCTCTGAAGAAAATATATTTGCCTACCAACTTTTACTTATGCAAATAAAGTCTTTCTATGTTATCTACATTTGCTTGTCTCATTTTCATTCAAATTATTATTTTGACTTAGTCGAAATTGATATTTCCTTTACTTTCAAATTTAATCTTTTTTTCAAAGTAGTCAACATTAAATACTTGATAACATTAATGTACATTTTTTTCTCAAAAATTTCACTCAAGATATCCTAAAATTTACTAGTTTAATCCTTCAAACAATAAATTTAAAACAAAATAATTGTTTATCAAAATCATTGTTGAACACTAACTATCTATGAATCAAATACAACAACAACTCATGTTTATTCATTAACAATTCTAAAGAGCACCTCATTTTAAATGACAACTAGATAAAGTCCAACCACTTAAGATTCATCTTCCTTGTATAATCAAAGAATCACATCAAATACTTGCTACTTACCTACATTTTTTTTTGTCTCTCTTATATAGTACCTTTGCAAGTATATCCTATTTCAAAAATATTATTAAAAAAATGTCTCATTTGCAATTTTTTCCCTCAATATAAATATTCTTTTATCACATTGCATGTGGATTAATAAAATCCCAGTCAACTTCACCATGCCCAAAAAGATTTCAAATTCCCATTCATGTTACCCTCAAGATCACTCTATTTTCACCTTCCACACATACACACAAAAAAGCTATAAAAAAAGGACTTATTCATTAGTGAAGTAGTAATATACTACTAGAGCTATCTTTTGATCACGTCACATGATTAATGAGAGGCACATGAAAAAGGACATCATAGGATATTATAGGATATACCTTATTATTACCAAACAATGTGCACTATTTAAGTTCAAAATAGCATAATATATATTTTCCCCTTATTTGAACTAGGAATAAGGTTTGTAATGTACCTTATAATATTGAGCCTTTATTTAAGAATATTATTGTTCCTTAAAATAAGGATAATAGTGGATAGACTGTAGAATGGAAATGGACGTGTAGTCTGTTTTGTTAAGAGGGTACACTGTGCTTTGCTGTCTAGCATGTGAATCAATGGGGTATGCTGCTGCTGACTGCTGTGCTGTGATTCAATTCTCACTCTCTTTCTCTTACATGCACCCATTATAACACACACAACTGGCATTTTTTGATTCATTCTCTTATACCCTACAATAAAGACAAAATTAACTACTTACTCATCATTTTCATCCTCTTGATAAAAATTCATACTTACTCATCATTTTTTATCCTCTTGATAAAAATTCATATTTTAAAATGGGTTAAATATTTTTTCTCATTATAAAATATCAAATTTAAATTTTATCTTTATAAAAAAAACGTATTTTAATTTTTACAAAATAATTATGCACTTAGTTTTAGTTTCTACTATTAAATTAATGTGTATTTTTAAATAATTATTTTGTAGATATGTTTAAAATATTATAAAAAAATTTTTGAAAAAAAAAAATCAAAATTTAATTTATAAGTTGAGATTTTCATTAGTTTTTGAAATTTAAAAAATTCATATTTAATTCTTCTCTCATTTTAAAAAATTATATAATTAAGTAAATAAATATTTTATAGTAATCTGAAAACGTATGAAAAAAATTATTCAAAAATTTAAAAATTTACACGTTTTTAAAATTTTAGAAGATAATAAGGATTAAAATTGCATATATAAAATTTTTGTAGAAATTAAAATATATTATTTTTTTATAAGAACTAAAAGTAAAATATTAAATATTTATTGGGACTAAAAATATATTTAACCATTTTAAAATTAAAAAAAAAATGTGAATGTCATTTTAATAAATTTTATTAAAAACAATTGTAATTTTCAATTAAACTTTTTATCCAACAAAAAAAACAAAAAGAGAATAAAGACAATTTTGTATATGATTTTAAAGTGATTCTCTTTGGTTTTTTATCCAAGTTGCTCAACTCCAAAACCAAACACTAATGAAACACACACACAAAAACAAAGTTCCATTCTATTCATCCTTTTATAACATCTACTACACCTAGCTTTCTCAAATTCATCATCCTACCCTAGAAAAAAAAATGAACATGAGTAGTGCATTTGATTCTGAATGTAGTAGTGGATGTGAGTCAGGTTGGACTCTATACCTTGAACATTCTTATGGAGAAAACACTAGATTCATAGATGGAACTCAAGGGTATTATGGGAAGTACACAAATGATGAAAACTACTCTCAAGATTTATCCATGCTTTCTGATGCTTCTTCTGGTCCTCCACATGTTCCTTATGATGATCATGATGATGGTTACTTCAATGAAAAACACAATGGTAATTCCTTAGTGAAACAACACAACAAGAGTGAAACAAAGAAACAGAAAGTTAGAGAACATGTTGAAAAAGATCAACACAATCTTCCTTCTTTTCTTCATGATACTGCTAGCTCTCATGTCTTTGACTTTTCAACTGTAAGTTTTATAATTTTTTTTTATTTTAAGAAAATATAATTTTTTTTTTTGTATTTAACTTTTAATTTTTGATAATTTTTTAGAACAATGTTATTGAGACAACAAACCAACAAAATTATTCACAAGGTTTCTCAGCAACTAACTATTTTGAGGTATTTACTAACTTGATTTTGTTCTTTTGATTTATGACTATTATAAACTTAATTAATTTTGTAATTTGTAAAATTGTTTAATTTATTTGCAGGGAAGATCTTCCTATCAAGAAGAACAATTTGGTTTTTTACAACAATCTCAAACAGAAAATGAACTTCAAAGTAACAAGTAGGTTATAATCCTATTTTTTGGATTGGTTAGATAATTTGTTGAGGTTAATATATGAATTAATTTGTATTATTTGTTTAGGAGATGGTATGGAAGAAAAAAAGGTTTTGGAATGAGGTGAAGAAAACATGAGTTCTATTAATTGCTGCATCTGCTTTTGAAGTTACTCAAGATTTAATGCTGCAGAAGGAATGACTTATTGTAACTTTTTTCACTTTTACTTTGTCAATGTAATGGGAAACAACTTGTAAGGGCAAGTTGGTCATTTTCTTTTGCTTTATAAAATGTAATTTTCTTGTTAATTAATGGTGATTATAAGCCAAAATTTCATAGTCCTTAATATTTTACGCATAAATTGGTTTTTTTTCCACCATCACTGTCCGGTTCACGGAATCGTATGATCTAATTCAAAGTCAATTCTGATATCAAGTAGTTTTAATTCTCTTTCAATCTCAGTAATAAAAAATTAAGTGAATATCGTACATCTTAATGTACTAAAATTCAATTTATTATTAAAATAACCCACCACTTAATTATATTAATTTTTTTTGTTGGTTATGATAAAAAGATAACGTGCTGCCGACAAATGTGTTATACTGGATTCATGGATAATTTAGATTTTGTGATTATGAAAAAGTTATAAACTGAGAATTTGTTTTAATAATATGTCGATGACCCAAAAGGAACATGCTTTATATGACCCATTTCTACTAGTTTGTCAAGATTATCTCTTTTGGAAGGACCCTCATTTAAAATACATTTTGGATCATGTTTTTTCATGTATCTTTGTTCCCTCCTCTAAACCTGTCTGTTTGGAACCTGTCACTCAACTTGATGTCATACGCAATCGTGCCTTTCATTTTTGTATTCCTTTTTAGTCAATTCTTTGAAAAAAGTTAAACAAAATCTCTATTCTCATCACACGTGTTTACTCACATATAATCATAAGTTTGGTCTTAACAACTTAAAATAAAAGCTAAAGTAATGAGAAAGGATAAGCATAGTAAGAGAGTGTGGGAGAAACATCTGTGTCCTTCCAACCACCGCACATAACCAAAACATTTTTGTATGTGACCATTGCGAATTTAGTTTGGATGTTCCCAATTTCCTTGACATAAACTTCTGCACTTGAAAGCTACTACTATATGGCAGGGAAATAATAAATGTGAGTGATTCGTTGCGTCGCACCAAAAACCCTTCAAATAAAAACAAATCTAGAACATACTTGTACGTGCATAAAATTTTAAACAATTAAATCAGAGATAAAGGTAATAGAATAAGAGAAAATAAAATAATTTTAAATTATCAATTAATTATTATTATTATATATACCGTTACATCATATTGCAAATTTTAAATTAACGGTATGATATAATAGATTAATACATTTTTATAGAATGATAATATAAAATTATTTATATCAGTATATATTCATTAAATTCATAGAAAAATCCTTACACTAATATTTATTGATATAGTTTGACCTAATAAAATACTTACCTTTTCAAAAGAAAAAATATCTGATTTATTATTAATATTATATTTGTCTTATAATAACTGTTTTACTTATACAAGGTATAATTTTTAAGAAAATGATTATATGCAATCATTTTAATATAATTAATTATTTATTATAATAATTTATTAATTATGTTAGTGGTGAATAAATGAAGTGGAAGTTTTTTCTATAAGTCAAAAATTCATTCAAACTTTTGAGTATCAGGAGTATTCTAACTATAATACAAACAAATATTCTCTATTGTATAACAACAATCACTTAGATAAAATCTAGAGGATGCTTATACCAATCATAAAAATTACAAAAGATTCTACGATTAGTGTCCGTTAACAGCCACCACTAAGAGAAATAAATAATCTTTAGCATTATTGACTGTGGATCACCCACATCATCATTGAAGATGACTTGATTTCTAGTCTACCATATACACAAACAAACCGCCACCCATATGCCACAAGAATTCTTTTTAGAGCATCTTCCTCTCAACCTTTCTAACCAAGAATTCTTTTTAGAGCATCTTCCTCTCAACCTTTCTAACCAAGACAGTAAGTGATTAGAGACAAGCATTTCATTAACCCATCCAATCTCCAACCATTCATAAACTTTTCTCCAAACTGGCATAATCCTAGGACATGAAATAAAAAGATGACTAACACTCTCTATTGGACCGAAACAGAATCCACAAACCACGTTATGAGGATTTGAGAGGATTCCACGATGAACAAGATTACTTCGCGTAGTCAAACTATCAAGAAGAAGTCTCCAGCCGAAAACCTTTACCTTAGAGGGAATAATAGATTTCCACAAGCAACATATAACAGCCTTGGTAGAATCAACCAAGAAACCTCCACCCGTGGCCAGTAGCAACCTATCATAATACTACTTAACAAAGAAATAGTTAAAAGGGCCTAAAAGCCATAAAATCGTGTCCTTCCTATCCTTGGTGGGACGAGCATCTCGCAGAAGCGTAATCAAGTCGAAATGTTCTTCCTTAAGTAGTGGTAACAATTCCAGATTACTGAAGCCCAAGTGCCAATTCCACACATTTTCGTTCCAACCCTCCATATCTCTCAGCTTGCCATCTTTCCTATCAGCAATTGTAAAAAGGCCTGGAAAAAGCTCCTTCAAAGTTGAACTGCCCAGCCATCTAGTAGTCTAGAATGGGGTATTCCCACCGTAACGCCCCGATTCTGATTTCCCATTTTTGTTTAATCTTTTATTTTATTTGGATGATTATTATTTTATTTGTGGAATTGGTGTGTTAATATGTTATGTTTGCATATTGTGTTATTCTATCGTTTTTTAGAGTTTTCGGGGAAATTAAGTTGAAGGGTATTTTAGATATTTCTTAATTAATGTTAAGTTAGATATTTTGTGAGAAGATGATTTATTAGATGTTTTGAGAGAAAAAGTAATAGAGAGAATTCGAATAGAAAGATATAAGGAGAGAAAGAAAGAGGAAGAAGAGAAAATAGAAGAAAAAGAGGAAAAGCTTGGAAATCTTCAAAACAACTTCTAGGAATCGATTTAATCGGGTAAGGATGTGAAATCTTATTATCTCATCAATTTGTATGATTATGTATGTGTTGTTTGGATTGTTGGGTTGTTTTTCTACATTTTTCCATTTTAGGTCGAATTGGTTTAATCGATAGAAACTGATGTTTTCACAGTTAGAATTCAAAATGAATTGCGTAGTTTAGTCGAGGAATGTTAGGCCGAGACTGTTGGAACTTGTTTGATTGGAATCGGGTGATTTTGTGACTTTTTGACATTTTTGGATGAGTGAGGGTTTGAGTAGCGAAGTATTCACTAGGCGAATCACTGGCGAGTGAGGTAACGAAGTGTTCGCTAAGTGAGCATACAGCGAGCTACCAGCGAACACTCCTAGACTTGGGCAGAATCAAAATGACCCAAACTTGCTGGAGCGAGTGGAGTAGCGAAGGGCTCGCTATTCTTCTCGCCTAGCGAGCATGACAGCAGAACAATTTTTTGTTCTTTTCCCATCCAACATCGATTCTTCGACTCGGATGTGATCAATCTTCTCCCGAGACGTGTAGCTTGTGTGCTGTTATATGATATGTTGTAGGTAGCCGTATGGCGTGAATCGTAGATTGTGGAATTTATTGTGAATTATGGCCTTTTGGCAAATAAATGCATTGTTTGAATTAAATGTAAATGCATGATGATTGTGATAGAGTTCGTTGTCGTTTAGGTGGTAAAGCGATGCTCGTTGCCGTTTGGTGTAATTAATGTGAATGTATATCGATTGTATGTGATGGTATGAGATGAATGCATGAATATATTGTAAATATGTATGCATTTCAAGAATGTCATGAGTCATTTTGTATGTGAAGCATAATGATGCGCATTCTTGTGTGGTGGGATTCTAATGAGAATCCGTTGTAACATCGTGTGCCTATGTAAGGTGTGAGCGATGATTACAAACGGTTGTGTGCCTATGTGAGGTGTGAGCAATCAGATTGTGTGCCTATGTGAGGTGTGAGCAATCCATAAACATTGTGTGCCTATGTGAGGTATGAGCAATGAGTGAACATCGTAGGCCCGACGGGGAGTTACATTGGTAACGAGCGATAGTTCCAATAAGTTCTTGAGTGAACTTGAGATGATTGAGTCGGTACCGCATTGCATTTGCATAGAGCCGTGAGTCGGTCTCTATGATTTGCATTTATCATCGTTATAATTGTGGATTGGTGAATAAACATAAATGTGTATGTTTATATGGAATGATAGAATTGTGGAAGTATGCATGATGAATATGCTTGGTTTTATATCTATGTATATATACATTGCGATGTATATGAATGAGTTGTGATGAATTGTGGTGAGAATGTGGAATATGTGTATTTATATGTTAAGATATATAATTATATGCATTGTTGTTATGATAATATTTCTCACCCTTCTGCTGTTTTATGGTGCTCTATGAGGCATTGCAGAGTAGGTTTGCTAGAGGTCTTTTGTGAAACGTGTCTTCTTTCTTTTTGTCGGTCGGCTTTGATATGTAGCACCGGGTAGTTAGGATGTTCATGATTCTTTTGTGTTACATTTGTATATGTAGCTTGTTGATGAATGTTTATGAAAACATGTTTTATGTCGTTGAATCATACTGGATGATATATATATATATATATATATATATATATATATATATATATATATATATATATATATATATATATATATATATATATATATATATATATATATATATATATGTTTGATGTTATTCAATGTTTAGATTTTCCGCTTTTATTCTAAATGTTGAGATGTGGGTGTAAGTACTAAGTTCCTCTGTTGCAAAGTTACCCCACTGTTGCATATCTTTTGTCGAGCAGGTGTTGTATGTTTTAAATTCACGCGTAATGTGACGCGCCTCTTTTATACTATGTTGATATACTCTGATGAAATTTTTAATATGTGACTAATTTATTATGTGACTATTTGGGGGTATAGAAAGGGGGTGTTACATTAAGTGGTATTATAGCCAGTGTTGAGTCAGTTGTGTCTGTCTTGTTGTTGTGCTGGTTGAACGGTTGTTTAACCTTATTGTTATTTTTGGGAATGGTCAGAATATGGCTGGT